ATTTGACAGAGAGAGACACAGCGAGAGAGGGAACACAAGCAGGGGGAGTGGGAGAGGGAGAAGCAGGCTTCCCGCTGAGCAGGGAGCCCGATGGGAGGCTCGATCCCAGGACCCTGGGAGCATGACCTGAGCTGAAGGCAGACACTTAACAACTGAGTCACCCAGGCGCCCCTGACTCTTTTTTAAATAAATTATCTTTTTAGAAAGATTCATGTAACACTTCAAACTTTTAATATTTAAACATATATTGTATTTGTGAAGCAAGTACTAACTACATCTTGTTACAGCTCTTGTTATTGCCATACTTGTAATAGACTTGAGTCCCACAAACAGTTTTACAAAAGAGGGTCACAGAGCTAAAGCCCAGGCTTGGACAGGGGAAGCACAGCAGATTCTATTTGCCTCCATTCCCAGGTAATAATGATTAAGAAGGCTGTCTACTAAACTGACTTCAAAGCTGTTGATGGGCTATCAGTGGATAGAAAAGAATTCTTATGGAATCAAATCTGTACAACTTACAGCAAACTCAAATTTCATTGAGAGGGATGGGGTTCCTTATTATTTCTTTACTTGCCAGTTCTTTATTGAAATATATTTGACATATAACACTATAAATTTAAGGTATACAACATGTTGATTTGATACATTTATATATTGTAATATGATTGCCATTGTAATGATAATTAATACCTCTATCATGTCCTATAGTTACTATTTCTTTTTTGGGGGGAGGGGTTGGAATGATTAAGATCTAGTCTTGGCAAGTATCATGAATATAGACAACAATACTGTATTATAATCAGATTATAAGATTAAAAGTTTTTAAAATTATAAACTGAAAAATAAATTTCTCTGGTGAATAGGACTTCTGTTTAATTCTCACAAAATTATAACACACACACAGGCACATGCACAAATACAAAACATTCTGTAAAATGATAATAATTCCTTCCTTTTTAGCATAAACAGAAACCAGAGAGATAAGACCATACGTTACTTATCATCTACTTAAACCAATTAGTACTTGAAGTTGCCTTCATCACTTGGTAAGATAGAAATGATTTGTGAAATAGTAGAACTATTCAGCTTTCATGAGGATACAAAAGGCATGTTTTAAAACAATAGTTATAAACAAATAAAATTGTGACCTTTACATAGAATTATATTTGAAATTAATTAAGGGATCGATCTGGATTATTATTATAAGTCATTTGCTGAAAAGTTAACCTTCCACATTTGTCTGTAGAAATAGGTCCTTTGTCTTAAATACCTTCTTTTTTATTTTTTTATTATTTTTTTGGTTTCTATGATTTTTTTAAAGTTTTTATTTAAATTCCAGTTAACATACAGTGTAATATTTTGACTCAACACTTCTATACAAGACCCCATACTCATCACAAGTGCTCTCCTTAATCCCCATCACCTATTTCACCCATCCCCCCCCACCTCCACTCTGGTGACCATCAGTTTGTTCTCCACAGTTAAGAGTCTGTTTCTTGGTTTGCCTCTGTACCTTTTTCTTTAGAATTTACATTGTCTTTAGTAGTTTATCAGTATCAAAACTTGACCTTTACCCCAAAGTGAAGTTAAAGGTAAATTTGATCATAACATCATTCAGAATCTAAGGTTTAGGTTAGAAACTAATGTCAAAATCAAGTAAGACATACTCAAGCTTAACAATAAAAGCTAAGAGGAAGAAAATGTGCTTCTAAAATAACTTTGGTGGTATTATTACTAACTATTGTGAAAAGGAATCATTCTGTCTGGATGTCTCAATATAATTACCTTTCCTTGTGCCTATCAGGTCTTGCTTAGCAGTAAGTTGAGTTGGCCTCTCAATTGTAGGGAAGACCCAAGGTAAATAACTGAAGACTTATTAAAGGGTATTAGTGCCTTGCATCACGTGGTTTTTTTCCTCCTACATTTCACTGAATAGGAAGATGACAAAAAAGAAAGATTTGATGACAGCAGGGTCATCTTTGGGTCAATCTTAGTTAATGAAATGCAGAGGGGGAAATAGAGTTGTCATTCATAAAGCTTGAAAAGAAACTACTCACACTTTTTAAAGAATGAATTTTTATGTTTCTTAAAGAGATACAGAAGAGTTCTAAAAAATTAATTGCATTCTTAATTAACTAATCCTACCTATTTGAATTAAAACTGTTGTAAAAATGAAAAATAGCTAACCACGACACTCTCATATTTTAAAGATTTTTTTCATTTAAGAACCTGGATATCAAGTGATACTACATATGTTATGAACTGTAGTTGGTCTTCTTTATGGAATTACAACTACTGATTTTTAAAAATTAGAAAAATTACCATTTCTTATACACCCAAGAACAATTTCTTACAAGTTAAATCTACGTGTGAACTATTTTAATCAGTATAACATAGCCATTTGCATTTCAGCTGCAACATATAGTTTTCAGTCAGCTCATGATATAAACATTCAATACACATTTGTTCATTGATTAAGCTCTTATGAAACAAGTCTTATTTTAGATTTTTAGATTTTAGTAATATAGGTAACACTCCAGATATACAAAATTAAATTATTGAGTTGAGGGTAATTGTTCTGTTTCAGGGATAGCTCATTCTAAAATATGTAGTAAGTATCATAAAACCACCAATATGGGGGATGTTTTGGTAAAATACAGCTAACCAAATAATTTGCCTAGCTAATTCAGAAAAGGATATTTTCTTTTGTTTGCATTTCTCTGGGGAAAAAATTGTTAATTGTGCTGTGAGGTCTTGGCAAGACTGAAGTATTTTCGGGAATCAATCTAAGACTGCCAGAATACAAGAAATAATATCGGCATTGTAGCTCTGCCTATATTCTTGTCTTTTTCTTAGAACTATTTCATGTCTTAGAAAGTTAGGAACAGTATTCAGAATCATTGAATGATTGCTTATTGAGTTTGTACAGAGTGAGTTGAGATTTTCTGTTTCTCAGAATATTTGGCTTTTGCTGTTTGAAGAAAGATGGCAGAGATTCAAAACTGCTAAAACAAGCTGCTAGAATAATAACACCAGCCATTCCAAATGGACTGTTTAATCATACCTTTTTTCTTTGCTTGTCAGGGTCAAGTGATAGTTAAAGATTTTGGACTGGTCAATCTCCAAATCATGAAGGTGTTCCTTTCTACGTGATAATTTCTCAGTCATTGATTTAGAGCCATAGAATGATACTGATTCTCAGTTGAGTCTTTAATTCACGATTACCAGAACTTTATTTAAATTTATTATTATTACTACTATTATTATTATTCACAAGTATCAGAGGCTCAGAACACCTTTAATAACATTGTTTTAGTGGGAAAATGTATTTCAGTAATTATATTTCACCTGGGAATGCTAGGAATCCTTACCCATACCAAGAGAAAACCA